GACGACTAAGGGGGGATATGACAGAGGTCTATAAAATCATGGCTGGTATGGAGAAAGTCAATAAGGAAGTGTTATTTACTCCTTCTCATAACACAAGATCTAGGGGTCATCAAATGAAATTAGTAGGCAGCAGGTTTAAAACAAACAAAAGGAAGTATTTTTCCCCACACAAAGCACAGTCAACCTTGCCAAAGGATTTTGTGAAGGCCAAGACTATAACAGGGTTAAAAAAAGAACTAGATAAATTCATGGAGGATAGATCCATCAATGGCTATTAGCCAGGACGGGTAGGGATGGTGTCCTTTGCCTCTGTTTGCCAGACACTGGGAATGAGAAACAGGGAATGGATCCCTTGATGATTACCTGTTCTGTTCATTCCCACTGGGGCACCTGGCATTGGCCACTGTCCAAAGACAGGATACTAGGCTACATGGACCTTTGGTCTGCCGTTCTTAAGTGAGATACACCCAGATGATTCTGGCACGTGAACCGCACCTCACACTGCAGAAGAAGGCGAAACCCCCCCAAGCTCACTGCCAATCTGACCGAGGGAAAATTCCTTCCCAACCTCACCATCCAAAAAAACTTTTGACTTTTTCCAACAGAAAATGTTGTCAAGGTCGACGTGTTTCCACAAAACGTTTAGTTTTTGACAAAATGGCGTTTTCCAACAGAAAATTTTTGGACCAGCTCCACTGCTGTGTTATAACAAACACTGTCCTGGGCAGAGCGCCAACCACAAGAACAGGAGTAGCTCATCAGCCCACCGAAAAGTAGGAGAGGTCCCCATACGGGCCAGGAGGCAGGGCACTGGAGGGACCTAACAAAAAGGCAGAGCTACTGATGTTGGCCCCAATGTTCCAAGGAGAATACTAGATCTCTCTTCTGACCATAGTAACAGACCAGTCTGGAAGTAAAGGGCCTCCCCTGTGCAGCAGAAGATGGGAAATGGAACTGGCAGCTTTCTGCATCCATGTCCCTCAAGAAAAAAATAAAAATCACATTTTAATTAGCGCAATTAAAGCGCCACATCTAAACCCTTCACTTCCCAGCTGGCAAAATGTCAGCATCGTCTGACAGCTAAAAGGTTGTGCTGTGCCCTTGGACTCTCTTCACGGACAGACAATGGCCAAAGGGAGATGAAGGTTGCCCCCATGCAACTAAACAGTGGCAGGAACTTGCTGGGGAACAGGGTCCTCCCGTCTATTGTGTGTGTCAATCACTCCCCAAAAGGTCAGGCACTTGGCAGCTACAACCGGGCACAGGCTGTATCCTGTCACAATCCTGTTTTCAGCAATGTCCTCATTGCAAGCTCCCAGGAAAAAGCGAAGGGAAATACATGCACACGATTTTTAAGGCCACCAGGGACCACTGTGATCATCCAATCTGACTTCTAGCATCACACGGGACCAGAGAATTCCAGCTAGTGGAGACTCCACTCTGGAAAACAGCAGCTAACTGGAGCAATAAATAAGGACATAATTCAGACTGCGAAATAGGCTTCAGTTTCCACAGGGTATTTTTAGCCCTGTCATTTCCTTTGCTTCCCCCTTTCCCCGCTCTAACCATCGTCAGCCCTTCCACAAGAAAACCATGTGCTGATTTATTGGCCTGACCATGTCTAGATACGGGCACAGGTAAGAAATCCACCTCAAACAGAACCTTGTCTGAAAAGGGTAACCCGGGCTCCTGCCTAGCAATTGAAAGCAGCTCCCAATCCCAGTCCTGCTCACCTTTATTTCCATGGGGTGAATTTCCCCCGCCTGTGCAGAGAGCCAGCGCCTCTCAAATCCCACATAAGACCTCAGAATAGAGGCGGGCAATAACTCCCTTTGAGTTAAAGCTGTGTTGGAGCTTCCAGTGCAAAATTAAACTTCCTTTCAGTCTGAGCACAGCTACCAGGGCGTTGGTAGCTTTAATACTTCTCTGTCCAGAGCTATGAAGTCTGCTTGTCTGGAGCCTACAGCTCTCTCATCAAAGGGAGCAAATGAAATATTTACATGGTCACTTAGGTCTGTTTGCCGGGACAGAAAGCTTAAGCTGAGGGGAGATGATATTATTTATGATTTCCTGAGCTCTGTGCTATACAAACATACGTTACAAGCCAGGTCAGAACCTGAGTGATGAGAGCTGCATGAGCAAATACACTGTTGCCTTCCGTCATCTGGGAAGGGTGAGATACAGCCCTTGCAAACAAGTTGATCAGGAAAGATGGGTCTCCTCCCACTTGGGGCTACAGGGTTGTTTATTTATAACGCTGCTTCTCAGCAACTAAGATGACAAAGAGAGAGTCACCATCTCGGGCATGTGCAAGTTGACAAATTCATCATTATTTCAGAGTTCTCACCGGATAAAATAAGGGCCATCGAAGGCTGCTCAGAAGTTTTCACCCACCATTGTAAAGACAACGTGTGCACAAAAGACCACACTCCAGTCAACTCCCTGTCTTAGGAGCAGGGGCACTTCACTCAGAAGCCGTAAGGCATCCCTGCAAATAACCAATAGCCCACCAGAGGCTCCTTTGCAAAGAAAGGCACTGCCAAGTTGCCGAAAGCAGCCCAGATGGGCTGCCTGAAAGGAGCACAAGGCTGCGTTTCAATGCAGCGATTCTGGGGAAAGGCAAAGCTGAATTTCTCTAGGCCTGGTGGAATGATTGCTCTTCCATCTCAGGTTTCACCTGCACCGGTCGCACTACAGAGGCTGGGGTCTGATCCAAAGCTCACTGAAAGATTCCATTTACTTCAGTGGGCTTTGAACCAGGCCTAAAATCCACCTTCCAAGCAAATACTTAACAAGAATTAAGTGCTTGGGCTAAAATGAAATTCTCTCTAGCAATACACTGCGTGTGGACTAGGCACTATAGAATACTGTCAATAGATGGCAATTAAAATCTAATATATTATAATAATTCATAAGAATACAATGACTTTGTTGTGATGATAATGCATAGAGGACTGTTCGTCTCCCAGTCCCCCAATGGGTCATCCCCCTTAAAATCACATTTCTTCTCTGAGGCCTGCCAGAAGTGCGTATATAATTCAAAAAGAAAACGCACTGAGTCCTCTGTTTCCTGGCTCTTCTGTGTCTCTCTCTTAGACTTCAAGCTCTGTCCTCATTTTGTGCCTGCGCAGTGCTGAGCACAAACCAGACAAGTAGTAAGGAATTAACCTCTTGGGCGCTGCAATGCCAGGCTGGGGCCACGCACTGGTTACTGCAGCCCTCCGCCATTGTTAGGGATCTAGCAAAAGAAACCAGCTGGCCAAGAGAAGCCCATTTTTCCTCTCCCCATCAACGGAAGATGAGCTGAAAGACCATTTCATCCGCCACCCCTCAAAACACTGGCCCTGGCTCTGCCAGAGACGAGGCTGGAATCAAAGGCCCCACTTTTATTTATTTGTTTATTCACAAATATATTTGGGTCCCATCGCTGTGCCCTGTTCCAAGTTGCAAACTGATAAATGCTCTGCACCGTTCCCGGCTCTTGAAGGGCAAGCAGAGGAGACCAACTGACCCCGTGTTACCACACTCTAGGAGATCTCCCGGACAGCTGATCAAGAATCCTAGTCTAGCAGAGAAAACACCTTGCACCATTTCCTGAAAGCTGACGATTCTGTTGCGTTACAATAAGTCAGTGCTGGTCATTTGGAGGCAAAGCACTGGCTCATTTGGGCCAGACAGCCTCCTGCAGTTATCTCTTCAGCGCGGAAAGGAGAAAACACCCAAACCAATGGGAGGAATTTACTACAGAACCTTTTCTGTCCCGTCCCCCCCCCCCCCCCCCCCCCCCCACACACACACGCGCAGGGCCAAATTTTCAACAGGGGCTTCTCATTCAGGACGACTAACTTCGCGTGCCCAGGTTTGGATACCCAGTGCCTCTCTATAGAGGTGCTGAGCACCTCCAGCTCCCATTATCTTCATCCGCTGCTCAGCATTGGTGAAAAACAGGACATCTCAAGTTGGACACCCAAAATCAGAGGCTGCTTTTCAAAGTCTGAGCGTCTGTACCCACATACTGTAAAACTCCACTTCTGGCTCAGATATTTGTGGGCATTGCAACAAATCTGTTGTTATCTAGTATATCAGTGGCCTGGAGGGACAGGGGATGAGGGTCAGACTCATGTTGACCTCTTGCCCTAGATGGCCCTAGAACCATCTCCATGGTGGCAAGTCCTCTGCTCAATGCCTCAAGGTGTGGAGAAATCTGAAGACATAATTTGAAATGGTTAGAGAAACACTCTCCCCCACCTTACCCTTTTGCTGGGAAGAAGGGAGGGGAATTCTTTTAGCGTTTTCCCCACCCTCACCCCAGTATGTCCATTTCAGGCATTATTTTTCCCGTAATTCTGTTTTGTTTCCTTGTTTCATTTTCACTGGTGGCGGCTGGTATGAAAGTGGGATGTTGGAATAACTGACACATAACTGCACCATATGCTCCATGTCTATTTCCAGCAGTGGGTGGGACTCACAGGGTGGGTGGGACTCACATTCCTGCTTATGCCAAGGCCCCTCTGTGACACTCTGATTCCTGTAAAAGCTCCCCATTTAAGGGCGGAATGGAAGCAGGAAGCTCTGTGGGAGACGTGGGTATGTTTGTCACCAGATGTAAATCCAGCAGGGTCCATACAAAAAGAGGGGTGTAGCTTTTGCATCCACTGCCCCCAGATGAAATTACTAGCATGGACGCACATACACATGGGTCAAATCCAGCACTCCCACCCCCAAGCCTTCAAAATCATGAGTCAGACCCCCAGAATAACCAGTGTTGGGTTCTTTGTGTTTGCCCTCAGGCGTTGGAGACTTTAGGATTCACATCCTCCAGCTTTTCTCAGCACACATGTGAACTAGAAATTTATTTATTTAAAAAAAAAATGAAAGTTGAGATTTTCCTACAATCGCCTGACTCAAGGAGCTAGTGATTGAAGAAACAACATCTAATACTGCGAGACTCAACATAAAATTGCAAGAGCTGGTGACTCTCCAAATCCATCCCACCTGTTGACCATGTCAGGGGTGAATTGGAGCTCACGGTTTTAAGCTTTTTCACCACTCCATGTCACCCTGCTCCCCATGTTATTCACTGGCAAGTCCTGGCCTTGCAGCAAGATAGCAATGCTTTGCTTCTGATTCCTAATGGCCAGCTGGAAGGGCGTGCAGCCAGTCATGTCCTCCACCTCCAGCACAGCACCAGCCTTGATTAAGGTCTTTATGATAGCTACGTTGCCACTGAGGACAGCGAGGTGCAGGGGAGTCCAACCCACCTTGTTCTTAACATTGATGTCTGCTTTGTGCTCCAGAAGGTTGATGATGCTCAGGAAGGTACCCCGCTGGACTGCGAGGTGGAGAGGGGTCCACTCTGATTTCTCAGTGATGTTGGGGTCCACCTCGCTTCTCAGGAGCTCGCAGACCACAGTCTCTTCGCTATAGCGGGTGGCCACGTGAAGAGGTGTCCAATCCATGCCTCCTTTGACATTCAGTTTAGCGTGGTTGTCTCTTAGCAGGCGGATGATTTCGATGTGGCCCTTAAAACAAGCCAGGTGTAGGGGGGTCCACTCTTTGTCCGTCCTCAAGTCCACATTGGCCCCGTATTTGATCAATTTCTCACATATCAGGTATTTCCCCTTCACCGCGGCCATGTGCAAGGCACTGTAGTGATTCTTATCCAGGCAGTTGACAGATGCCCCACTCTTCAGCAGGTATTGGACCACCCTGAACTTACCCCTCTCCACGGCAAAGTGCAGTGGGGTCCGGTGGTTCTTCTGCTTCCTCTCTAGGTCAGCTCCTTGGCTAGCTAGGAGTTTCACAAGGCTGATGTGCCCGAAGCAAGCTGCCACGTGGAGGGCAGTTCTCCCATCGTTCTCCTGGCAATTGGGGTCAGCCTGGCGGGAAAGCAGCACCCGGGCCACATTCTCGAAATTGTTCTGAGATGCCAAGTGGAGCGGAGTCCATCCTTCATGTTCTTGGGAGTCTGCCTGCGCCTGGTGGTCCAGCAAGAGGCGCACAATCCTGTCATCCCCATTCTGAGCCGCGAAGTGAAGAGGAGACCAACCGTCTTTGTCGGCCATGTTGACATCCGCACCGTGCTCTATTAGAACCGAGCAGATCTCTGGTAACCTCTTCTGGACCGCCACGATGAGTGGGGTGTAGCCACAGACCAGCTGGCTGTCCAAGTTGGCCTCCTGACTCAACAGAAACTTCACCTTCTCCACATTTCCTTGAATCACCACGAGGTGAAGCAGGGTGAGGCCATTTTCCTGGGCCCTGCGGACTTCCTTGGACATTATGAAGCTCTCCAGGCCCTCGACCTCGTTGGCGGCGGAATGTGGGAAATCAGTCTCTAAGGGCAGAGGAAACAGAGTATGAGAAAGAGAAAGCAACTGAGTGATATAACAGCTTGACGGCTCCCAAACTATGGTGTGCACAGCACTGGGGAATTCTGGATGCCCAGAGCTCAAAATAAAACCCATGCATGTGGATCTGCAGGGTCTAAAACCAAAGGAAATGCACCTGCCTGCTGGTCTGCTATGGGACGGGGCTGTATGGGTAAGAGCAAAGGAAACACTTGGCATCTCTCTCACAGGGACTTTATATTTGTTCTTTTTTTGGTTTGCACTTTTCCTTAATCTGAAATTAAAAATCACCCAGTCCGAAAACACATGGACTGTCCTTTTGTATGGAGACTATCGTAGGGTAAAGGTGGGAAACAGGGCTGCTCTGTTCTCTTGCCCACTTGATTCTCATCTAAGGTTTATGAGCAAAGGTGACCTACTCACCACTACTACTTGTGTCTTGGGAGAGGATGGATCCTTGTTTCTGGCTCTTGTTTTCAGGGAGGAGAGATAACAGGAAAAGAACATTATGGGCAGTTTGTTATTTGCGATTTACCATTTGTGTGTTTCATGTTCTTCCCATTTAGCGCGCTAGGATTTTGTGCCATCATTTATGCACTATTTTTCTTACCAAGCTTGCTTGATATTACATTCAAAACTCACTTAAGATAATCACAGCACAAATGGGAATGCAAGAGTGCAAACACAGTGCTTGGGGTTATTATAAATCACCAGCATGGCCTGTTTTACCTTAAAAGCTAAATAAATTTCCTTGGGAATTTTAACCCTCTGATAAATCTCATGCATAGTGAGCTGTCCTTAGTATTTACAGCCTACTTAAAAAATTAATCTTGAAAGAAAACAGTACATTGAATAATAAATCACAGAGAAGGCAAGACTTCCATTTGTTGAAGGCAAGAGAGAATCCTTTGGAGAAAAAGGAACAGGTTCTGTCTGTCTCTCCCATCTACCTCCCTGCTGATACTCCATGATTCCACTATAGCAATTTCCAGTAACTTTTTAGAAGAACTCCTTTCTCATAGTGCAGTCTAACCTTCCCCTCCCTGGCTGCCAATCATGGCTATGTCGAATGCGGTCTCCTTGGACTCCTGAACTCTCTCCTGAACTGGTGCTTTCTGGGAAACATGCAGGATAATGAGGTTTCGCTCCCTCTCTTTCCTTAGTCACCTCTTCCCAAAGCTAAATGTTCCATTTCCATTATTTCGATGTTTAATGACAGGATCTCAGATGCCCATTTACACTTCCTCCCAGGGACTCTGAACAAAACCATCTTCCTTCTGCTTGACCCTCTGAACTTGCCTGCCCAAGCATCTGGTCTCTCGCTAACTTTAATGAAGGGGGGGGGGGGAATGAAACTATGACAAGAATAGTCTTTCAGTCCTCCTGTGTTAGAATAATAGAATATCAGGGTTGGAAGGGACCTCAGGAGGTCATCTAGTCGAACCCCCTGCTCAAAGCAGGACCAACCACCAACTAAATTATCCCAGCCAGGGCTTTGTCAAGCCTGACCTTAAAAACCTCTAAGGAAGGAGATTCCACCACCTCCCTAGGGAACCCATTCCAGTGCTTCACCACCCTCCTAGTGAAAAAGTTTTTCCTAATATCCAACCTAAATTAAAAAATTAAATTAAATTAATGGAGATATCCTATCTCCTAGAACTGGAAGGGACCTTGAAAGGTCATCAAGTCTAGCTCCCTGCCTTCACTAGCAGGACCAAGTACTGATTTTGCCCCAGATCCCTAAGTGGCCCCCTCAAGGATTGAACTCACAACCCTGGGTTTAGCAGGCCAATGCTCAAACCACAACCTCCCCCAATGCAACTTGAGACCATTGCTCCTTGTTCTGTCATCTGCGATCACTGAGAACAGTCTAGATCCATCCTCTTTGGAACCCCCTTTCAGGTAGTTGAAGGCTGCTATCAAATCCCCCCTCATTCTTCTCTTCTGCAGACTAAATAATCCCAGTTCCCTCAGCCTCTCCTCATAAGTCATGTGCTCCAGCCCCCTGATCATTTTCGTTGCCCTCCGCTGGACTCTCTCCAATTTTTCCACATCCTTCTTGTAGTGTGGGGCCCAAAACTGGACACAGTACTCCAGATGAGGCCTGTTACTTCTTCCCTTGGGGGAGGTACCTCTTACACGCTACACTGTGGAGATTTAAGAGCAAACATTTGATATATGCACTGACTGGGATATGCTTGGCTTAATACATATGCCTCTGCTTCCCCAGAGCTGGAAAATGTCATCTGGAGCTTTATGCTTGGCACTAAGGACTCCGTCCTGCAATTAACCCTGCCTGGGCAAACCCCCACATGGAGCTCCGTTGGACTCTGACGGCAGGGCCGGCTCTAACTTTTTTGCCGCCCCAGGCAAAAAAAAAAGAGCGCCACCCTGCCGTAACCCCCCCCCGAGCGCCGCGCCGCCGACCCCCCCCCCCCCCCCTCACCCCCGGGCCGGGCCGCCGAAACCCCCGCCCCCCCAGCGCTGCGCCGCCCAAACCCCTGCCCCCCTCTCCCTCCCCGAGCGCTGCGCCGCCCAGCCCAAACCCCGAGCGCCGCACCGGGCCGCCCAAACCCCCGCCCAAACCCCGAGTGCCGCACCGCCCAAACCCGCCCCCTCCCCCCCCGCCGCCCCGCCCCCCCCCCCCCCCCCCCCCTCGACCGCCGGGCCGCCCAAATCCCGAGCGCTGGGCTGTGTCGGGCCGCCCAAACTCCAAGCGCCGCGCCGCACCAGCCCACGCCCCCCCGCAGCGCCTCGCCACTGAAACAAAAACAAACAAAAAACCTCGAGCCAAAAAAACCCACCGAACCAAAAAAACCAAAAAAAACCCCAAAAAAACCCGAGCGCCCCCCGCCCCCAAGATTGGCCACCCCTTCCAAGGTGCCGCCCCAAGCACGTGCTTGGTTGGCTGGTGCCTGGAGCCGGCCCTGTCTGCCGGCATGGAGCTCGTTGCAGGATCAGGGCCTAAATGATATCCAGCCCTGCCTCTGCCGTGTGCTTGCAGCTGTGTAAAAAATTCTTTCCCTCAGCCTGCCTGCGTCCCAGCCAGCACAGCATTGCATCCCTCTGGTGGGGAGTAAGTTCCTCACCAAGAGGATGGGATAAGGCTCCTTCCTGGTGGCTAATAAGAACTTCCTCCATTTAAACAGCCCTGAAGTTCACTGGCCAACTTCCTAGATTCATGGGCTCCCTCCTCAGTAGCGAAGGAGGAAACACACCAGACAGAGCACCCTGTACAAAAAGCGCGGAGGTAGTGTGATGGGTAACAATGGGGAAAGAGATACAGCTCCCTCCTGAGTGTGAAAAGACGGGAAGGGAAACACTGCTAAGGTGCTTGAGAACATTTCCCAGGGGATGGTGTGAATCTTCCTTACTTTTTGGCTCCCAGATAAGGTGGGCTTGTGAGACACCTTCCTGACGAGGCGCTCATTCTCCGGATCCACCACGAGGCTTTGCATTAATGACAGGAGCATGTCAGTTTCCACAGGGATATCTACATAAGGAGAAAGACGGTTAGTCGAGGCCTACCCTTCCCCACAAGACCCAAAGTTCAACAAACACATTGGGAAGGGGAACATCTAGGGGGAATAAGTATAAAAGGGAAAGTGTTTGGGCAGTGGCTGGCCACTACACAGCTCAATGCAAACAGCCAGTTAGTCTCAATCCTTGCCTTCACACTTGCAAACCCGGACAGTACAACAGGCACAAGGAGAACAGAGGCTCACAGAGTACCTCATGCAGGATGTGCTTCTTCAGGCAATGCCCAAGCAGCATTCAGGGGCAGAGAGCCCCCAGAGAGGATCACAGCAGTGTCTTTAGGGGGCTGACTTTCAACACAAGCCTCCGACAGAGGCTTCTAAGGAAGCTCTGCACTCATTGTTAAAAGCATGACAGAGCCCCGGTAAGAGGCTGGTTCAAAGATGGGACTCCCTAGGATTAGCGAATCTGCATGGTTTGAGATCCTTGAGAAGGACATGGCCATGGGGTGGGGGGAGACCCAGGTAAAGACTGTTTGTGAGAAGCCCATAAATTGCCTTATGTTTAAACTAAAGGTGGGGCTGAGCGGCAGAGTTGAGCCCCATATCCCAGCTTCCCCCAGAGGTCAGAAATCTTGGGAGCTGGAGCTTTGGTCCAGCTGATGTAGGAGCCGTTCTTGACATCTAGAACTGCTTATTGGTGCAAAACTCACGCTGGGAGTTCAGATCAGGTGTTTGGCTTTGCACTCAGCTGAGTTCGAGCCAGGTCGCACTTGGCTACCACACCTGTGAAGCGTGGCCTTTTCTTGGGGTCTTGGTCCCAGCACCTCTTCATCAAGTCAACCATCTGCTGGCATTCCCCTGGCCACTCATCACAGATGGACTCTAGGCACGGCCGCCTGCCTGCTGAAATCCCGACTATGATGGCCATCATGTTGGCTCCTGAAAAAGAGTCAACAATGGGCACTGCACTTGTTTTCTATGACCAGGATGGAGCAGCCATGACGCTGTGGTAATTACAGCCGGGGTGTACCAATAGCCTGGGGCCTTTGACTCACTGCTTAGGGACTGCACTCCCTTGCTTCGAGCACAATCCCACCTCTGCCCCAACACCCCTATGCTCTAGGGCGTTGGTTTGTCAGTCTGTCTGAGCCAGCCCTGTGAGCAGGGTTCCAGAAGGCCCAAGCTTCACATTATCCCCCTAACCCCTGCAGCCAGGTGAAGGTTTATCCCCCTAGATGACACCACCCACCTCGAGTCAACAGATGAAGCCCACTGGTTTATTGTCCTCAGGTCCCAACAGCAGCATCTGGCCACATCGTTACAAAACAGGCAGCCTGGCTGGATGCAGGAATGGCAGTCAGGGCTCTTTGGTTCTATTCCTGGCTCTGCCACTGACTCTCTCTATGGCCTTGAGTGAGCTACTTGATGTCTCTCTGCTTCTGTTTCCCAGCCTGGAAAGCGGGGCTAATGATTTAGCCTGCTGTATTTCCCAGGGCTGTTGAGACTTGAGGTTACTCATTCAGCACAGTGCTTTGGAGGTAAAGATCGGTGTGGGAAGTGGGTTTTTTTAATTGTTACCTGAATATGGCTTCTTCTGCATAAGAACCTCCCAAATGACAATCCCGAAGCTGTGGGCAATGAAAGGTCATCGGCAGCTGTCCATGTGGCATCCTTTTCTTAAATAACAATTAATCTCACTGCTTGGTGGGATACTCTCAGCTTCTCCGGGAATGGACAAATTAGGGAAGAGGCTATTCAGATGCATCTTATTGCAAGGGAACCAGCCCCCATGCCTCCAAAGGGGAGGATTTCTCAAACAATCACAGAAACCTCAAACAGCCCGGTACTCCCAGGCTGCGCCAATGCCGGAACTGGGGTTGGTCACTGAAATGGATTGCTCCCAACGACAGCCCCTGCAAGAATCAGGCACCGAGCCCCATCGTTTTGACCCAGTTCCCATTTGGGGAACCTATGTTTGGCGACTTCAAAGTCCCAGCATTCATTTGACCCTGGGCTTCTTCTTCGCTTCTTGTTCCGCAGTGTGCCTGCTAAACAGCTGGTGCATTTCAGGGGTGGATAAAGGGTCCCCCTATATCTAGTTTGGGATGTAAGGAACAAGAGGAACCTAAGTCATTGGCCTTTCTCCAGTATGGCACCCCATACTGACCAAAGCTAAGCTGATACCCAAATGCAAAGCCCGAACAGAACCTTAATTGCTTCAGTACCAGCAAAAATAACAAGGAGTCCGGCGGCACTTTAAAGACTAACAGATTTATTTGATCTGAAGAAGTGTTTTTTTACCCACGAAAGCTTATGCCAAAATAAATCTGTTAGTCTTTAGGGTGCCACCGGACTCCTTGTTGTTTTTGCTGATACAGACTAACACGGCTACCTCCTGATACTTCAGTACCAGCATAACTCTAAGCAATGCCTGTTGAGCAAAAGACCACATGCTGCCTGCATTGTGGTTTAATATTATTCCTCTCCTCCAATAGCTCTTCATGACCTAACAGGGTGTGATGGAACCGGAGGCAATACAGCATACAAGTCATGCCGGGTCAGAACTATACAGAAATGCAGCTGGTCGGAGACAGATGACTCTCCGCGGATAAACTCACCCTGATGAGGGGCAGCACACGTCGCTCCTGGCATGTTCCCCACCAAGTACATTATGCAAGGAAGAGAGCCAGAATGTAAACAAAATTAGGCAATGCACAATCGCTCTCCCGTCATGCAGGAGCGAGATGGGAACTCTGGCTGACCCCTGAACAGATATCCCCAGCTGCTGCTGCCTCCCGTCCAGTCACTCCGCACAGCCCTTACCTATACACATCATATTCGGGTCCTGGCGGCCTGGTGCTGTGGAGAAACATTTCGGGCGGGATGTAGCTCAGGGTGCCCCGCAAGGCTGATCTCTCAATGTACTGCATCCGGCTCGACTGCTCCATCCATCTGGACAACCCAAAGTCTGAAATCTGAAACCAGGGCCAGTTATAACCTCCCTTTCTATCACCCAGCAACCCCTCTCTCTGCTTGCTCTAGCCATCTAGGGTGCAGCTGTTTACAGACAGAGGGAAGGTTTTGTGATTGAGATGTGGGGAATGAACTCCCAGGCCCGTTGAAGTCAGTGAGAGATTTGCCATTGAGCTTGATAGGGGCCAGGATTTCACCCTGGATTGGGACTGACCTGCATTCAATTCCCAGCCATGCCACAGACTCCCCATTTGACCCTGGGGAAGTCATTTAATCCCTCTCTGTCTCCGTTCCCAGTCCCACCTTGTACGTTTTATCCCTTACTTCCACCCTCTGTTTACTTTGTCTAGTTCAGCTGTCAGCAAACCAGGGCAGGGTCTGTCCCTCGTTACTAGGGTGACCAGATGTCCCGATTTTATAGGGACAGTCCCAATTTTTTGGGTCTTTTTCTTATATAGGCTCCTATTACCCCCCACCCCCCGTCCTGATTTTTCACATTTGCTGTCTGGTCACCCTACTCGTTACGTGTCCGTCTCTGATGTTCTTTGGGGTCTCTAAGCACTAGTGTAAAACAACTAATAAATAACACTGATAACAGAGAGAAGAACCCATTCCTATACACACAGCCCTAAATGCCTTACCTTAACGTGCCTATTCCCATCTAGAAGAATATTCCCTGGTTTTAAGTCTAAGTGAAGTAAAGGAGGTGTCATGCTGTGCAGGAAATTCATAGCCAACCCCGTCTCATGGATAATGCGGAATTTGAGCTGCCAGGAAAATTTGTGGGTGGGGAGCACTGTTTCCAAGGACCCCTGGGCCATGTATTCCATCACTATCCCCGGTGGGCTGTTGCAAATCCCATAGATGGAGACGATATGCTGGAATTTTATTTTCTCCATCTTGGCTGCCTCTTCGACAAGGCAGTTCATGCTGGTTCTGCAGGGAACGTAGAACGGAGAGATATCAGTGCGGATTCACAGTCAGCATGATGGGGCTGCAGCCCAGAGCACACCCAAACTTCCCGAGCAGCCTCTGTATCCCAGACTGGCCCTGTACACCCATCCACCTCCAGGATCAATGACAACTGTCTCCCAGGCTAGCGTGACCCTGCAGATGGCATCTGAAAATGTGTTGCTCTGTTGCAGGCCAAGTTCTAAGACACAGGCTGCTTTAAAGGCCATGGGTTTCCATAACCAGCTGGCAACTGTACATGCCACGTCTCTCAATGAAATAGGTCTAAGCACATTCACCTCCAGCCTTTGAATAATGCCATACCAGGGACCCAGCTCTCAGACCAGTTCACAACCTTCCCATCAGTTATCTCACAAAGCCTCTGGGTGTAGCTGCCTCTATACCCTGATTAAATTCATAAATCCCACTCATTGTTTCACTCAAGTCTATGCATCTCCCAACCCGTTTGACCAGTCTGGGTGTTCCCAGCATGTTCGAGGCAGCAGAGCAGCTCACGTCAAGAATTCAGTTACACAGGCACGTTGGGAATGAATCAGGGCTTGCACCATAGTGAAACTCAGCTGTGTTCAGTGTAATGTCTTTCATGTTTCAGTCCAGGTTTACAATAGCGCCCAAACGCCAAAGCCCTGGTGTGGCATGCAGACAGGTATACACACATGCAGACAGGAGCTGGCACGGGCATCTTAGCACTTTGGGAAGTCTGGTCCTCAGTGTACTCCAGACACTATCCAGAGCGAAGTCTTCCAGTCATGGATCCTGCAGGCCAGATCATGCCACATCTGAATGTGGGTACTCAGGGAAATCAGGGGGAGTAAGCCACAGCCGAGATCCCCTTTTGTGGCTTCCCTGCATCTCAGCTTGGCTGTCCACTGTTAGCCCACGAGCAGGGGGATGCGGAGAGAGGCAAAAGGTGGGTTGAGTCTGGGTTCTGCCCCCATCCCAGGAGCCGCTCGGCTCATGCAGCACGGGAATAAGCTGCACCCTGAAGCGAAGGGTGCTGCAGATCCATGTCCCCCATGAGCAAAGGGGAAGCAGAGAATGAATTTTACCTCACAGTTCCTTCGTTGGGCTCCTCCCGGGGCAGTGCCGCTATGCACTACCCATATCAGGGCTAGGAGCAATGGCTCAGTCTAGGCCTGAATGACAGAGAGAGAGACAGACGGACAGACTCAGCTGTGGTTTGGGATGGGATTTGAAATCAGCTGGCCAGTCAGTAAGATCAAGGTTGTACTGATGCAAAGGAGGTGGGTTTCGTGCCCCGCCAGGCGAGCTAGGAGACAGAACCCAGAGGAGGCACTGCCAGTGGCTAGACAAACAGGGGGAGCAGAGAGAAACTGAGCTGCATGCCCCAGTCTGTCTGTATCCCTCTGTTGTCTCTTGTTTCATACTTCGATTATCAACTCTTTGGGGCAGGGACCATCTTTTTGTTCTGTTTGCACAGCGGGATCCTGGTCTGTGACTGGGTCCTAGAGGCTACAGTAATAACAAACAACCACCACCACCCTAAAATGATCCCAGTGCCGGGTTCTCAAGCTTCTTCCCTCCACAGCACCGAGCCCCTTCTCTGGAAAGGCCCACAACCCACATCTGAGACTCTCTTTCCTAGTTCATGTCCCCATAGCACTCCCCATCCCAATCAGCGCTCTGGACTCGGAGTCTCCTGAGCGGGTAGAACAGGCTGGCAATCAGTCCTCAGGCACCGCCTGCACCACTCTCCAGGTCAGTGCACAGGGAGGCTGGCTTCTGTTCTATTCGTTGCCACACACATGTGGCCTTGTCTCCCATCTTCCCCCTACCTCAGCCCCGCTTTCCTCCGGACGGGTGAGTCTAGCTGAAGTTAGTAGGCTCACTGACAAACGGCACCTCCAGTTTGAGTGACTGGTGCAGAGAGGTCATGCTGAGACAGAGCGTGAGTGGATAGGAGTCACTCTACCAAATGCCTTCATTCATTACTGATCCGTCGGCAATCGCAGCCTCATGGCTCCTGGCCAGGTGCTCAGGTGACTTTTAAAGGCTCTCTTGAAACCTGCTACTCTGCCTCTTTACAATAGGGCTGTGCCCCTGCGGTTTCTTCTAGTTAATTCTTTGGATGGTTTGGAACCTTTCACTTCCTGGTCTTGGGGCCTGTACGGAATATTTGCAGATAAAAAAAGAATTGAAATGTTTCTATTCTACATTAGAGAGAGTAAACATAAGAATGGCGGTACTGGCTCAGACCAACGGTCCATCTAGCCCAGTATCCTGTCTTCTGACAGTGGCTGATGCCAGATGCGTGAGAGGGAATAAACAGAACAGGGTAATTATCAAGTGATCCATCCCCTGTAGTCCAGTCCCAGCTTCTGGCAGTCGGAGGTTTAGGGACACCCAGCACATGGGGTAGCGTCCCTGACCATCTTGGCGAGTTACAGACACACTCTCAGCACTGGCTTGGAATTACCTGTCCTTGCTCTGGGTCCATTCCCAATGCTGAGGGTTAATGACATGGTTCCTCCGCCATGGTTCCGTGCAGGCGGAGAGAGTGCGATCAGAAATGTGGTCCTAAGGCAGGACTTGTCTACACAAACACTTAGTTTGCAGCAAGCTGGGGTGTAAATCTACCCTGCCTATCACACACTAACTGTCCATGTGGATCCTGCTGCATTCACTAGCAGTTCCCTAGTGTGCTTTGATCTACCCCACTTGACTTGGGAGCAGCCTGATTGCCTGGAGCATCTATTGCCATGATGGTGTTTCAATTTGGGCTCATCCTTCCATAGGAACATACGTGTCAGGCGGAAGCGTTTTGTTTATTTTTTAAAGCCAAGGACTGTTGGGAGGGTTTAAAGCCAGAAGCAGAGTGTTTGCCCTGTTCCTTTCATTGGCTCAAAGTTCGGGGAAAAGGGCAATGTGTATGCAAAGTATGGAGTTTGTGTTTGCTTAATTGGACTGGGATCAGCATGGCAGAGCTGGGGCCTGAAAAGAGCAAAGGAATCCAGCTGTGAACTGCATGGCAGTTTATAAACCTGTGTATAAATCTGACTCTCCTTTCTGCACCACGCCAGGCAGTTCTGCAAAGTCCCCATCCCTGGGTCAGCCCAAACGGATAGCAGCTTTACAAGCACATTAGCTTCTTTGCAGCGGAAGCCCAGCAGAAGCTGTTGTGCAAATAAATTTGACAAAGATATGAGAAATTAAGTGTCTCAAAGGAGCGACGCCTGTAGATCTAATAAGAATGTTATAGCCTGTGAAATGCCAAATTGAATCTCTCTCCTGGGTCTCCAATATTGGAGTGGCATCGGATTAACCAAAAAGGCTGCTGCATTTCACCTCTGGGTGAAAAACCCCTTTTTCGATGCCCAGTGTAAACAGCTCCTTGAAACCAGCCTTTACAAAGTACAACTCTGCTCTGCTCTCAGTCATACCAATGCAAATGACTTCAGCGTGGTTACAATGGGGCAACCTACAGTACAATGTGGATGGAGCACTGTCTCCGATCCTCAACTCTTCCCATACAAAACCTGAGCATGAAACCTGGCTTGACACTAAAATGACTGCACTGCTCTTTGCTTTGTAAGTCCCAGGGAAAAGGATATGGAGCCCCCAACAGACCACCCTTTTGCTTCCCCCTCATTTCTACTACAATCCAGTCACTTTCACAATAGAAATGGTTAAAATTTTCCAACATTCCATCTTATACTACATTTTTTCGATGACACTTTTCAGCAGCATTTCTAATTTCAACCAAAAAAGGAGCGACTTTTTGCAAAAAGTGTTTTTCAATCAGCTCAGCTGAAGGGGTTCTCTTGAAAGTTTGTGAAGTACAGAGCCCCCAGATACTTGGTGGCTGTTTTGATGCTCGTAGTTGAAAGAGGATGTGTCCAAAGGGAAAATCGACCGGATCTGCCATTGATTAACTTCTGTGCTTGGGATTCAGGAAAAAGAAAACAGATCTGAGCGGCAGGGAGCTCAGCACTTCAGTTTGTGCTGGTTCTCTGGCACAGGAGTGAATTTTGCCCTTGCTGAATTTCCCAGGTTGGCTCTTTATTGTTGCAACACTTACAATGGAAGGTGAAAGCATTTTCTAGCATGGTCCTGCCACACAGAGAATGAAAGGCCCTAAGTCTCTCCTGTGTACACTGTGCATTTTCAAAATAGCTTCTGCAGCAAACCCAGCTGTGCCTCAGAGATTAGAACACCCAGGGCTGGATTCTCAGCTGGTGCTGATCAGCATAGTTCCATTGACTTCAATGCAGCTACGCTAATTTACACCAGTTGAGGACCTGGTTCCTAATGTACAGCGTAATGGGCCAGCTGGTACAGCCTGTGTTGCACCTAAGGGTGGGCTGCAGCAGTGTTTCTCAATGACCGGTCCGTGGACCGGCACCAGTCCCTGAGATTTCCCTGACACATTTTAGGAAGGCAGCAAGCCGGTCCCTGGTATCAAAAAGGTTGAGAAACATTGGGCTAGAGCTCAGAGCGATTCTCATCACATGACATACCGATGAAGCGAGCCCCTTCCATCTGCCCCTTGTTTGAATTGTCTGATCAGGGAACTTGGTACAAGTGGCAAAGAAAGTTCCAGCAATTTAGTTCTCCTTAAGAACTTCGTAAGCCTGCCAAAACATTTGTCATGAACTGCATGAAATCCACACCAGCCGGAAAAATCAATGCACTCTTAGCTAATAGAGTTGCCCTTTCCAGGCACGGGGATTATGTTCCAAGGAGCATTTGTCATATGTGCTCAAACCCCAGAGCGAGTTCCTAACCCACCACCCAGTCCTACCAGATGTAGAGCCGCAAAACGTTTGGTAAAGCAGAAATGATCCCAAATAGCATCTGGAATGCAACAGAAAGCGCAACACCCACCTTCCACCTGCTTATCTAGAAATCCATGCTTCCCTTTCAGAACCAGACCAAAGGAGATCAGAGGGTGCAGGTTTCTATAGCTGTCTCTGTCACTTTGCTGGGGAATCGTCTCCCTGTTTTCATAGCAATTCTGGGAAAGACATGAAAAAAATCATTTGAATTTCTGCTGTGCAGGCCTGAATTCTCCTCTATTCTCCAATGCTGGTGGCTATGCACAATCATCAGCAATGAAAAGAAATCTCTTCTAGTTCCCTTGTGACCAATAGAGTCATTCCCTTTGGTACATGCTCCAGTGCTTTGTCCAGCTCACGATTTAATCTGTGCTTCTGGTTTCTTTCCCTAAGTGTATTTGCTTCTGTCACTGTCATCTTACTTCCTGACAATATTCCTAGTCTCTCCAGCCTGCTCTGAATGATTTCTCTGCCTTCACCCCAAATTTCATTAACATGCTGTTTACCCCGTCTTCCACGCCATTAGCAAAGATTTAAACTAAGATCAGAGCTAGCCCTGATCCCTGGACATATTCTCCACACCTCACACACTCCCTTCCATGTATGGTGCTTTTCCCCTTTTAAATCCATGACGTTGTCCATGTCTAAGCATGAGACAGTGTGTCAAATGCTTTACTAAAGTCCAAATCAATTACATCAGTCTCTGTGGCTGCCAAGCCGCAGAAGCCTGAAAACTACCTCATGAAGAAATCACACCCATCTTAGTTAGTGGGACACCGAGCCATGCACACTAACTCGGCAACGCCATGCACACTAACTCGGCAACGCAGCAAATCCTTCCCCTGGGACTCTGCCGTCCGATTTCTGTTGGCTAGTTTATCCATATGATATTAAGTTACAAAAAGCCAGTACATCAGTTAGTAGAGTGGCAATTCGTTAGTGGAGTGGAAATAAGGCATCAGGATTTAGGGAAGATTAGGTAACCAAGAGTGGAAATTCGAGTGGGGCCTTAGGACAGAGAGTGCGATCAGAAAGGAGTTTGTGAGCAGGAAGAAAACAGAACTATTCAACAGGGGAACTTTGCTGGCTCCGCTGTGTTAGCTTTTATCCAGGGACAAGGGACAAGCTTTGGGTCATTCCAAGCACTCTCTGCCGCTGTCACCCCCATGTCCCATTGCTCTCTGCTGGTATTAGAGGCGCCTGTGCAGATACCTGCTGACACCCTGCATGGTCATGCAGGCAGATACTGAGCTCGCAGTGTAAATATGCCGCGGAGTGGCTCAGCATCTGGAACAGCTGCACAGTGAAGCTGGCAGCTCTGGATTTATCACTCTGCAGTAACTGGATGTGTCTGCATCCGAACGGCAACCTGGCAAAGACAAGGGAATCCAGCTTCACTTCCCTCCATCCCCATCCCATGCGACTTCCCAGCATCAATTTACATAGGCTCTAAGTCAGGTCTACATGGCAGCACGGGCAGGTTAAGCCAAAAGCCCCTGGCACAGTAATATGGCCTCAGCTTGGACATCTTACAGGATGAGGACTGTTCTGGAGACCACGGTTCCCAGTGCCAAAGAACAATTTCACTGAATGCTGATTTCACTACAACTGTCCGACCTGCTGTTGCAATGTTGGTTATTATTCCCTGACCCAGACTGGCTTGTAAGCGGTGCAGAGGTGACCCCGGCAGTGCCTGTGTGGGCCAGCACGTAAGCCCTTCTTAGTGGTAATACTTCTACTTGGCTTTTCATCTCTGAAGTACTTTACAATCATTAACAAATTAATCCTCAGGCGCCCCGGAGAGGGGAGGGAGCATTATCCCTGTCCTGCTGCTAGGAGATCGAGACACAGGCAAGGGGAGTAATTTACCCGAGGTCACACAGCAGGTCACTTCAAAGTGACTCGGATCAGGGGCTCCTTACAGCAGCAATGAGATAGAAGAGAAAGTAGCTGTCAGGAATCACGCAGGGCCCCTCCCATTCCTAGCCCAGGCCCTAAGAACAGTGCGTGAAGATAATGCTCAAGCTCTCGCAGCGGCCCTGGATCTGACCTGGGGAATAGACAGCACATGGCATCCAGTCCTTCTGGTCTGGCAGCGGGAGTCACGCAGCATGACCCGATCCTCAGCTTGGGGTGGCTGCTGTTGTTCTGCAGGGTGATGACAGCCAGGAAGGTCTCTGGGG